TGGTTAGAAACGTGGAGGGAGGAGGACAAGGATGTTTAAGATAAGTTCAGGTTTAGAAGACAAATTGTTCCTCAAGGAAAGACTTTCTTCTTCGGTGCTCACAAAGACCAAAAGCAGACAACATTAAGAATCTCTTTATTTTCAAAGACGACCCAATCATGATGTCTTGATTCGAGGCCTTCTTCTTTTTTCCCCAAAATTTTTCATAGTTGTTGAACAACAGACTCTAATTCTCAAATGTAAGGTTGCTAACTGATGATGAGCTAATGTTCTCAACAAAAGGATAAAAATCAAGCTGAGTTTTCAGCCAGGTGCAGTGGCTCACACCTATAATCTCAGCACTTTGGGAGGCAGAGGTAGGCGGACCACCTGAGGTCAGGAGTTCGAGACCAGGCTGGCCAACATGGCAAAATCCCGTCTTAACTAAAAATACAAAAAAGTGTAGCCAATCGTGGTGATGCACGCCTGTAATCCCAGCTACTCAGGAGGCTGAGGCACAAGAATCACTTAAGGCTGGGAGGCGGAGGTTGCAGTAAGTGGAGATCACGCCATCGTGCCCCAGCCTGGGTGACAGAGAGAGGTTTTGTCTCCAAAAATAAAGAGTTAATATGTTGTACTATAATGAGCACAAGAAAATATTATAAAATTATATGTAAAATACCATCAATGAGTATAAAATGTATCGAATATTCTATATCCATTCCTATTAATCTCCCAAAGTCTTGGTCAAATGATATCTACAAAAGACTTTCCTGTCCCTCTGTAGCTGAGGTAAGCCGCTGGCCCCACAGCATTGCCTATCTCTGCTACAAACAATATTACCCTCTGCCTCAGATTAGGGTTCACTTTGTTGTATCTCTCTCTTCCACTAAGTTGTTTGCTCTTTACAGAAGGGACTATGGTTTCATGTCTTCTTCATTTCTATATTCTCCACCAACTTAGCATAGTGCCTCACCGCTAGAAATAATACAAGATAACTATAAACTGATATAACCCAATCAAACTAACTGCTAATATTTGTAAAGTGCTTCACTAAGCATGTTCACATATGGTAAAGTAGTAGAGTACAGTAGGTGAATAAGCATTTCCAAGCAGACCCACTGGGAACTTCCAGCCCAGCAAGGAGAGCTACTCTCAACACTGCCCTTTGGTATAAGACCGTAACTCCTTAATTCTACCTCCTTCCAAGATTCTCTACTTTTTCACTCGTGAACACTGACTGTAGTGTGAAATCACAGCCTAAATATGTTAATTCATTAAATTAAGCATTCATTCCCAGAGCACAAATTCCTTAGGTCAGAATTTAGGCCCTCCAAGGCCAAGTGTGGTGGCTCATGCCTGTAATCCCAGCACTTTGGTAAAAAAGTTACATTAAACTTTTGATTAGGCAAAATGTTCAAGTAAAGGCTGAGCGGGCAGCAGACTGGTTGAGCCCAGAAGTTCATGACCAGCCTGAGCAACATGGCAAAACCGTATCTCTACAAAAAACAAAAAAAATAGCCAGATGTGGTGGCACGCATCTGTAATCCCAGCTACTTGGAGGCTGAAGCAAGAGAGTCACTCAGGCCCAGGAGACGGAGGGTGAGCCAAGAGTGCACCACTGTGCTCCAGCCTGGGTGACAGAGCGAGACTCTGTCTCAGAAAAAAAAGTTAGGCTAATCCCTTCAGATCTGGATTTAATAGTCTTATTTTGCTCCTTCAAGAGTTAACCAACCACATACCCCAAACACATCACCATCTGTTGCTTCTATGTTTTTGCTCATCTCTTCTATCCAGAGATCTTCTTCCTCACCTCCCTCTATGAGAACCTCAACATTCCTTCAAAGTCTAGGTCAAATGCCACATCTTCCACAAATCTCACAGAAAAGAAAGAAAAATGGATGTAATAGAGTTGCACAAAGAAACGTCATGAGTTTTCAAAAGCATATACTGTTAAAAAAAAAAAAAAACCATTGCTATTTTGGCATTTTCTTTTGGTAGGGATAAATATAAGAAAATAGAAATAAATGATATCTCGATCCTATTTTCTTGACTTAAAAAAAAGAAGCAAGGTCATCACCCAAAAATAATAATGGGGAATGAGTTATTAGAGACTTGAGAGAGGAAAGTTACAAAACAGTAGCATAGAAGAGAGGGAAAGAGGATGGTCTAAGGAAATGCAGCAGGACAGCACTTGAGGTTAGTGGTCTTGAATTGAGAGTGAGACCAGTCACCATGCTCCTGCTTTTCTTTAGTTACAATCAGCTGTGACAGTCAGGCTGTGAGTAGGTGGAGAATTGGAGTAACCAGAGTTGGAGTCTGGCAGATTGAAGGAGCCAGAAAGTTTAGGGCATGTGCAAAAGAGCAACGATAGTGATGAACTATGGGGTCTAAGTTGGTAAGAAGGAACTGACAATGTTGGCAAGGATGGATGAGGGACAGTGAAAAAGAGTAGAATCAATAGCTGAGGTTCCACTGAAATTGAAGAATTATTGCAGCTGGAGTTACTACATAGAGATAGTGGTCTGAGTGTGGAATACTCAAAATGGAGAGTATGAAGGGTTCCAGTAAGAGCAATGGCAAAACCCAGGATGCGGGCGCATGGGAGCAAATGGTGAGGAAGAATGAAGGAAAGTATCACTGCAGGAAAAGAGCTCAAGGGTCTCTGACTTCACCTGAATAACTACTTCAAATCCCAAATACACATAATAGTTACATTTATACATTTATAATTTCTGACAAGGAAAGAACAAGAAACTGAGATGTTTCTTAACCTTTCTCAAATGAGGTTCTGTCAAAGAAAATAACTTAAGTAATTATTCTCTCAATTATACCAATGATGAAAAACAGAACCATTCTAGATGAATAGGAGATAAGTCATTTCATTATATGCAACAATTTTTTAGGAAACTCATTCTCTCATGAAATCCTGGATAGGAAAAGTAGAAAGGTCTCAGAATAAAAGAGGTAGGATTTTTTTAAACGTTTTTCCTAAACAATACATTCATTTCATCTAGACAGCAGTTTTCAACATGCAAAGTACTCGTACATGCATAGCTCATACAATGCTAACAACCACCAGGTGGGATAAGCAGGCAAGATATGACACAAGGAGGCTGGGTGCAGTGGCTCAGCACTTTGGGAGGCCAAGGTGGGTGGATCATGAGGTCAGGAGTTCGAGACCAGCCTGGTCAACATGGTGAAACCCCGTCCCTACTAAAAATACAAAACTTAGCCAGGTGTGGTGGAGCGTGCTTGTAATCCCAGCTACTGGGGAGGCTGAGGCAGGAGAATTGCTTAAACCCAGGAGGTGGTGGCTGCAGTGAGCCAAGATCACACCACTGCACTCCAGCCTGGGCAACAGAGCAAGACTCCATCTCAAGAAAAAAAAAAAAAAAAGACACAAGGCAACATACAAGATAAGCAGATAAGCAGCCAAGGTATAATTCAGCTATAATTGCAATTCTTTTATTGATGAGGCAAGAGGCAGATATGTTAAGTGACAGAAATGAAATGTAGGTTTCAGGCTTCTCATCTGGGACACAATTGACCCTTCCCTAGAACTTCAAGTTTCAGCACCAAGTGTTCATTGCGAAGTGTGCCCCCTTGCAATCCTGCTCCACACAATATCCTCCTCCTGTATTCTGCTGCATATGTATCTAATCCTCCACCAGACTTTAAACTCCCGGGAGACAGGGACAGTGTGTTTTTAATAATATTTGTATATCTAAAACTTAACTTAAATATATTAATGGAAAAAAGGAAGCTAGGAAGAAAAATGTAAAGACACTTGAATTTTGTAGAAGGTAAACATTGTACGTCTTTAGGATTTAAAGTAGTTATTCAAGCAGAGTCAGAGACTAAATAATTGGATTCTGGAAACTGTTTCATGAGGAAAATTTGATGGTGCAATTAGTTTTGGACAGAAAATATTAAAAGGAAACATGAATACTATTTCTAAATATCTGAAATTATCACATAAAAGGGAGCATTTCATGTTCTTCTGAAGGGCAGAAAACAAATAGAAGTTGTAGAATCTCCCAGGCAAAAGCTCTCTAACTAAAATAAAGGTCTCTCCTCCCCCAGGCAGTGGCCATCATTAAAGGATCAGGTAATTCCAAAGAACACCCAGCATTTATAGTGGAGGGATCAGACTGTAGTTGAATGATGTCATGCTATCATCATAGATCTATACTCTAGTAAGCAAGATAAACTGGGACTCTTAAAAGATGGTTACTTGGTAGAAAGTCTAGTATACCAGACTTTTGACTCTAGTTCAGTGTAATATGTGATTTAAAAAAAAAAAAAAAAAAATCTCGGCCAGGCGTGGTGGCTCACACCTATAATCCCAGCACTTTGAGAGGTCAAAGTGCTGGGATCACCTGAGGTCAGAAGTTAGAGACCAGCCTGGTCAAGATGGAGAAACCCCGTCTCTACTAACAACACAAAAATTAGCTGAGTGTAGTGGCACGTGCCTGTAGTTCCAGCTACTCGGGAGGCTGAGGCAGGAGAATCACTTGAACCGGGGAGGCAGAGGTTGAAGTGAGCCAAGACTGCGCCACTGCACTCCAACCTGGGTGACGAGGCAAGACTTCACCTCCAAAAAAAAAAAAAAAAAGAAAAAGAAAAAAAAGAAAAAAAATCTCACCTCATTGGTACTTAAACATTAATTTTGGTTTGAGGCCGGGTGTGGTGACTCACACCTGTAATCCCAGCACTTTGGGAGGCTGAGGCTGGAGTATCCCTTGACGTCAGGAGTTTGAGACCAGCCTGGGCAACATAACGAAACCTTGTCTCTACTAAAAAATACAAAAATAAGCGGGGCATGGTAGCGCGCACCTGTAGTCCCAGCTACTCGGGAGGCTGAGGCATGAGAATCGCTTGAACCTGGGAGGCAGAAGTTGCAGTGAGCTGAGATCGTGCCACTGTACCCCAGCCTGAGCGACAGAGGAGACACTGTCACAAAAAAAGAAAGAAAAAAATTTTGGTTTGAGCACTGCCCATTCTTTCTGGATATTCTTTTATATACAGACATAGGTATAATACATTTCACATAACTGTCAATTTATACAAAGCGTATTGAGTTTACTCACTTTCTCCACAATGTTTCCTTTTCTCCTTGCAATAGAAAAAAAAAAAAAGAAGAAGAAGAAGATGGGTTTTTTAAGTCCAATATTTGCTATTTTCTTCTTTCTTGGAGTCAAAGTACATTGCCAATACGAAACTTATCAGTGGGATGAAGACTATGACCAAGAGCCAGATGATGATTATCAAACAGGATTCCCATTTCGTCAAAATGTAGACTACGGAGTTCCTTTTCATCAGTATACTTTAGGCTGTGTCAGTGAATGCTTCTGTCCAACTAACTTTCCATCATCAATGTACTGTGATAATCGCAAACTCAAGGCTATCCCAAATATTCCGATGCACATTCAGCAACTCTACCTTCAGTTCAATGAAATTGAGGCCGTGACTGCAAATTCATTCATCAATGCAACTCATCTTAAAGAAATTAACCTCAGCTACAACAAAATTAAATCTCAAAAGATTGATTATGGTGTGTTTGCTAAGCTTCCAAATCTACTACAACTTCATCTAGAGCATAACAATTTAGAAGAATTTCCATTTCCTCTTCCTAAATCTCTGGAAAGACTCCTTCTTGGTTACAATGAAATCTCCAAACTGCAGACAAATGCCATGGATGGGCTAGTAAACTTGACCATGCTTGATCTCTGTTATAATCATCTTCATGATTCTCTGCTAAAAGAGAAAATCTTTGCCAAAATGGAAAAACTAATGCAGCTCAACCTCTGCAATAACAGATTAGAATCAATGCCTCCTGGTTTGCCTTCTTCACTTATGTATCTGTCTTTAGAAAATAATTCCATTTCTTCTATACCCGAAAAATACTTCGACAAACTTCCAAAACTTCATGCTTTAAGACTGTCACACAACAAACTACAAGACATCCCATTTAATATTTTTAATCTTCCCAACCTTGTAGAACTCAGTGTTGGACACAACAAATTGAAGCAAGCATTCTATATTCCAAGAAATTTGGAACACCTATACCTACAAAATAATGAAATAGAAAGTATGTAGACTTTTATTGTGTTTTAAAGAGAGAAAGAATGGAATTCTCATCTTTTAAGGAAAAAAATATTTAGTAAGCTATGCTTTAGACATTGTGGAAAATGGTTGTTTTGAAGTTGCTTGAGGGAATGGCAGAAATTTGCCCCAGAGAAATGTGTGCTATTCAGTTTATAGTCCTTTCTATTAAATTGTATTGCCTTAAATATTGAGAAATAGGCTGGGCACAGTGGCTCATGCCTGAAATCAGAGCACTTTGGGAGGCTGAGGCGGGTGGGGTGAATCACTTGAGGCCAGGAGTTCGAGGCGAGCCTGGTCAATATCGTGAAGTCCCATCTCTACTAAAAACAAAAAAATTAGCCAGGCATGGTGACGTGCGCCTGTACTCCCAGCTACTTGGGAGGCCAAGGCATGAGAGTTGCTTGAACCCGGAAGTTGCTATGAGCTGAGATCATGCAACTGCTTTCTGACCTGGATAACAGAGCAAATCTGTGTCAAAAAAAAAAAAAAATATATATATATATATATATATATGTGTGTGTGTGTGTGTATACATAAAATATAGAGAGAGATAAATAATAGAGTATATGAAGAAAAATGAGTATCCTAAGTAGTGGGATTGTAGATAATTTTTTTTGAGATTGTTCTACTAGGACTTTATTAATCAGAAAAGCCAATGAAGCCATATATATTTTGGTAATACAAAACTCATTTATAATTTAATTTTCTTCATTTTATTATTTGATTAATGTAAAAAAGAAATCTAATTCAATTTATAAGTATTTTAATTAATTATATCCCATACAACATAAAATCTAACACAGAATTATGGTCATAACTGTGGATTATACCTTATAAAGCAAGATTAATTTTTAATTTATTTCTTTCAGAGATGAATCTTACAGTGATGTGTCCTTCTATTGACCCATTGCATCACCACCATTTAACATACATTCGTGCGGACCAAAATAAACTAAAGGAACCAATAAGCTCATACATCTTCTTCTGCTTCCCTCATATACACACTATTTATTATGGTGAACAAAGAAGCACTAATGGTCAAACAATACAACTAAAGACACAAGTTTTCAGGAGATTTCAAGACGATGATGATGAAAGTGAAGATCACGAGAGCCCAGAACAAGAAGGAGCAGAAGGGCACTTTGACCTTCATTATTATGTAAATCAAGAATAGCAAGAAACCATATAGGTATACACTTATGACTTCATAGAACCTATACTTAATATAGTAAATCTAAGTAAACATGTATTACTCAAAGTAATATATTTAGAATTATGTATAAGATCAGAATTGAATTTAAGGTGGTGACATCTGCATCATTTCATAGGATTAGAACTTATTCAAAATAATGTAAATCTTTAAAAATATAAATTAGAATGACAAGTGAGAATCATAAATGTTAATGGTTTCTTACGCTTTTTTAAAATACAGAAATATCATGTTAAAAAAAGCGAGTGTATCATTTCTATTAACAGTAATTTTTCTAAAAATGAGGAAGTAGCATTAGCAGTAAAGACCCAGAGGTCATGACCTTTTTGATCACTCTGAGAACAATATTTGAATGACAGGAGGGCATATTAATGTAACAAGCATTCATTTAAGGAATAGACCATTTTCTTTGACCTCTTCTCTGGAAAAGCTTTCACACTGGTGTTTGGGATCTCATCATTACGACATCCATCCCGCTATCTCACCACACAATGCATAGAGTAATATTTTTGATTTGTAAGAGGCCATCCAGTTACTAAGGACCCAAGGCATACAGATTCACAAAATTAACTGATCTTTTTGCCTCAAAGTACCCAAACAACAAAATTATAAAGCTGTATTTGGACAACTAAAAGACACCAAACTATCTCACTGCAATTGGTATTTTAGCAAATTTCAGCAACTATCCAAAACAATGTTATTGTGTTCCATTTTAACTGGGGTAAATGTTTTTGTAATAAATACAACCATAGAAAGGCTTCTTTGTTACAAAATGATTTGCAAAGAAATAACTGCTTTGTTCACAAGATTAAATGTTGGCAAAATAAAGTTCTAATGATAATATTAAACACTTTATGCTTATCAGCCAATATCTACAGTAAAGCTAAAATTGAATACAGTTCCTTTATAATTTGAATGACAGGTTTTAACATCTTTAAAACCTTAAAAATCACTTTTAAGTATTTTAAGTGTGCCTTACAATGGTGATTATCTAACTGCTGCCATGAACTCTCTTGATATACCATGCTAACGTTTCACAGAATTTCTCAGATAAGGGACAGATAACAATGTAGGGCTGCCTATATAAATGATAACAATTCTGACAATATGCAATGGACAGACAAGTCAAACTATATTTCAGAAGTAGTTTTCAAGCTTGCAAGTCTTTTTTTTTTTTTTCTGGGAATACCAGTTTAAAGTGAAGTCTTTAATGCTGTTTATATCTTTGAGGAGATTATTAGCATTATCAGAACCAGAACACCCATCTGTTCCCAGGGACAAACTCAAGAATCCAGGATGAATATGAACAAGACTCCATTCATTCGTCTAATCAACATTCATCAAGTCCTTTCTTATATAGGGCTTGGCAATAAGGGATCAATAAACAAAGTACAACGTGCAACTATGATGCTACAATATGGGCAAAACACACTTTCAACAGAAGTTTAAAAAAAAATCTTAAGGCCTACCTCCCTTTTCTTGCAATTTTTAAATACAGAGTATAAATTCAAACATTATGAGTTAACATGTGGAAAATACTATGAATGTTTTAGAAAATAAAGATAAGACAATTTCTAACCTAGAGCAATTTAAAATTTATAAGCCATTAGGGAAATGCAAATAGATGAGATAGCACTACATGCTCACTAGGATAGCTGAAATCAAAAGGCAGACAAATAACAAGTGTTGGCAAGAAGTGGAAAAACTGGAGCCTTCATACACCTTTGGAAGGAGTGTAAATGCTGCAGCTGCTTTGGAAAGCAGTATGGAAGTTCTTTAAAAAGTTAGTTACATATGGCTGGGCGTGGTGGCTCACGCCTGTAATCCCAGCACTTTGGGAGGCCAAGGTAGGTAGATCACCTGAGGTCGGGAGTTTGAGACCAGCCTGACCAACATGGAGAAACCCCATTTCTACTAAAAATACAAAATAATTAGCCAGGCCTGGTGGCACATGCCTGTGATCCCAGCTACTTGGGAGGCTGAGGCAGAATTGCCTAAACTCAGGAGGCGGTGGTTGCGGTCAGCCAAGATCACGCCATTGTACTCCAGCCTGGGCAACAAGAGCAAAACTCCATCTCAAAAAAAAGAAAAAGAAAAAGAAAAAAAAAGTTAGTTACATACAACCCAGAGATTCCATTCCTAAGTATACACCCAAGAGAACTGAACATACATGTTCACACCAAAATTTGCATATAAATGTCCATAGCATTATCCACAAGGTAGAAACCACCTGCATGTCCACCAATGGATAAACAAAATGTGGTATATCCATTTAGTGGAATATTATTCAGCCACATCCAAAGGTAGAAACCACCCAAATGTCCATTAATGGATACACAAAATGTGATATATCCATATAGTGGAATATTATTCAGCAATAAAAAGTAATGAAGCACTGACATATGGTACAACAGGGATAAATCTTGAAAACATTATGCTCAGTGAAAGAAGTCAGTAGTAAAAAGACACAAATTGTATGATTCCATCTATATGAAATGTCCAGAACTGGGAAATCCATGGAGACAAAGACTATTGGTTGCCTAGAGCTGGGGAGCATGGGAATGGGGGAAAGTGAGAATTGCTAATGGGTATATGGTTTCTTTTCTGGAGTAATGAAAATGTTTCAAAATTGACTGTGGTGATGGTTGTACAAATCCAAAAACACTAGGCACTATTAAGTTGTATACTTTAGGCTGGGTGCAGTGGCTCATATCTGCAATCCCAGTGCTCTGGGAGACCGAGGTGGGAGAATTGCTTGAGGCCAGAAGTTCAAGACCAGCCTAGGCAACACAGTGAAAACCTGTCTACAAAAAAATTAAAAATTAGCCAGGCATGGTGGTGCATACTTGCAGTCTTAGCTATTCGAGAGGCTGAAGCAGAAAGACTGCTTGAGCCCTGGAGACCAAGGGTGCAGTGAGCCATGATTGTGCCTCTGCACTCCAGTCTGGCAATAGAGTAAGAACCCGTCTCTTAAAAAAATAATAAATAATTAAATTATATACTTTAAAAGGATGAATTGTATCGAATATGACTTATCTCAATAAAACAGTTATTTGAAGAATTTAATAAAGAGATCAAACAACTCACTCTAACATAAGGAAGAAATAAAATGCTAAAGTGGCAATAACTATCAAAAACTGTATAAGCACAGACACCATAACTTTCACATCTGGCGAGGACCTGGAGAAGTAGTTGAAGGCTCCCAGGAAAAAGTTAATGTGTGGCAGGAATTGACTGGCAAAAGTGGAGAGAACAAGCTCCTGACGGGAGTTAATATAAAGACATGGTAATTACTTGTTTCACTTCTTGCACAGTTTAAAAGATTGAAAACCCTTCTTTTTTCAGAGCTCTGGAGTTTCAATTTGTATCGCCTTCTAAATGAATAAAAGAAAATATATTTCAATTCTCAAGTAACAGCCTTAGCAAATAATAAAATTGCAATTCAAATTTAGCAGTTCTGGCCTGGCATGGTGGCTTACACCTGTAATACCAGCACTTTGGGAGGCTGAGGTGGGCTGATCGTTTGAGCCCAGGAGTTCTAGACCAGCCTGGGCAACATGGTGAAACTCCGTGTCTACTAAAAATAGAAAAATTAGCCAGGCACGGTGGCCCATGCCTGTAGTCCCAACTACTTGGGAGAATGAGGTGGGAGGATCGTCTGAGCCTAGCAAGTGGACGCTGCAGTGAAATGAGACCATGCCACTGCACACTAGCCTGGGTGTCAGGGTGAGATCCTGCTTCAAAAAACAAAAACAAATTTAGCAATTCAAAACAAGGAATCTGGCTGGGTGTGATGGCTCAAGCCTGTAATCCCAGCACTTTGGGAGCCCGAAGTGGGTGGATCATGAGGTCAGGAGATTGAGACCATCCTGGGTAACACGGTGAAACCCCATCTCTACTAAAAATACAAAAAATTAGCCGGGTGTGGTGGCGGGCGCCTATAGTCCCAGCCACTCCGGAGGCTGAGGCAGGAGAATGGTATGAACCCGGAAGGCGGAGCTTGCAGTGAGCCGAGATCGCGCCACTGCACTCCAGCCTGGGAGACAGAGCAAGACTCTGTCTCAAAAAAAAAAAAAAAAAAGAAAAAGAAAAAAAAAAGGAATCTCATACAAGAGCTATGTGGGTATAAAGCATAACAGGACACTTTTAAGCTAGGTGACTTTGAGTGAGTTATTTAGTTTGTATCTTTCTTTGTTTAAAAAAAAAAGATGGTTTCCATATGGTCCTTATAAATAATAGATACAATAAAGCACACAAAGTGCACATGAGTTTCAGGTATCAAGTAAACAGTAAGGCTCACTGTAGCACATCTGGCCCAGCAGCCCCCAGATTCAGATGCTGCACACTCCTGGGTGCTCACACTGTTTTTCCTGGCACACAAAACAGAGTAAGCATCTCTTCGAGTTCCTTCCAACATTTTACTCATACAAAAGATTAGTGGACAAGAGAGACTATGAAGGGTTTCATTAGGGTGCTTAAATCATGTATCTCACAACTTCACAATCACTATTGGATACTGCAGCTTTTCAAAGCACCATCGGGACGGCCCACCAGGGTGAGGATGGCAGGGTTCCCTCCACCCCCTCACAAGGCACTGGGTTGCTGGCTTCCCTGCCCCAGAGTGTGGTCAAACTCCTCCTGTTTATTAGCAAGAACAGTTTAACTCTGCTCTGGCTCCTCCCTGTAAAAGTGCATATAAATAAATGCATCCCGCGTCCTCTAGCTCAGGGCCCAATGAGGAGACAGATTAACAATCACTTTTTGGTACTTGAAAATGCCTTAACTCAAAGCTGCCTAAGTCTTCTTATTAAAAACAAAACAATGAGGCTGGGCATGGTGGTTCATGCCTGTAATCCCAGCACTTCGGGAGGCTGAGGTGGGTGAAACACGAGGACAGGAGATTGAGACCATCCTGGCTAACATGGTGAAACCCTGTCTCTACTAAAAATATAAAACATCAGTCGGGCGTGGTGGTAAGCACTTGTAGTCCCAGCTACTTGGGAGGCTGAGACAGGAGAATTGCTTGAACCCAGGAGGCAGAGGTTGCAGTAAGCTGAGATCGCACCACTGAGCTCCAGCTTGGGTGACTGAGCGAGACTCCGTCTCAAAACAAACAAAAAACAAAACAAAACAAAGAAAAACCTCAATGCTTTCCCTGGGAGACAATGAATAAAGTATTTTCTTCAAATAGTACATCAAGACTGCACAGTTACCTATCAGAGGTACAGCCTAAACCAGTTAATTTGATATTTACAGCAGGAAATAAAAATGTGAAAATTCATTTATTATTTTTCTCATTTTACTACCAAGTATTTAGTTATGTTAGCTAATAGGCTAAACTGTAACTATTAACAAATAAGCCCAAGTTGCACCATAAACCCAAGTTTAATTAACAAATATAAATGCACAATGAACATACATTTAACTTTTAGAAAGGAAATTTTAAGAAGGATACTTCATAAATTTGTTCACGATAATACTGGTTGAGAATGTTTAGCCAATGTTTAAGTATTACCTGCAACATTACACATTTTCACTCGATTTCTCAAGCCTGGGAGCACTAAACTAAAATACAGATGTATGCATATTATATAACACACTTAACCAGCTCCATGAGGTAAAAAAGAAAAGAGAAAAAATAAACCTTGTCTGTTCTATATAATTTTTCTGTTTTAAGAATTCATATGTCCCCAAGGATGGCTAGACCGAAAACCCTGGTTTCCTGATTCTAAATCCATTTCTTCTACATCTTGGAAATAAGGCATAAGAGCAGCTGGAAACAAAATTAAATCATAACAGCTAAACATCTGAAGTTTCTTATATGTTCCAATATTCTAAATAGATATAA